CTTGGAGCGGATCGCCCCAGCTGCTGGCGTCACGAAGGCACTCAGTTCGCACTCGTTTCGCCGCGGGGGAGCTCAACACGCGAACGGCTCTGAGAGATTGACGGACCGCTGGATCTTCGACCGAGGTTCCTGGAACATGAGCACAACGAACAAGGGTTTCAACTACATCTTCAACACGAGCAAGGAGGATCACAAGGTAGCCAAAGTCCTCGCAGGATACGAACCGAAGACGAAGGTAAAACTCCAGGACCTCAGCAGCTTCGACTCCCAGACGCTTGAGCAGATCAAGCGCGTACAGGACGTGATGTTCATGTCCTGCAGCAACCTCGCAACCTCCAGCTTCAACGTCAACAAGCAGGTCGTGGACATCCTGACTGCGGCCGTCTTCCGATACTTCCCGCTGTTGAAGGAGCTGAGCCACAGCAGTCCAGTCGTCACGCGGGTCGAAGGTGCTGTGCGAAGCGGTGGAAGCACGCTGGCGGATCTTCTTGCTTGGTCTGCGCATCTCTCACTAGCAGCCGAGCCCTGTAACAACAAGCAAACTCCGGAGAACGACACTACCCACCAAGCACAGCAAACGAAGGAGCAGAAGATCATCGATCACCAAGCTTCTGTTATTAAGCACTTAATCGACATGTCGAAGCGGCAAGACGAGCGGATGGACGCTCTGGAGGCCAAGCTGAACAACGTTCCTGTCCTGACCATTAAGCGCAACAAGCCAAGTGAAAAAAAGGGAGAGCAAGAAGTCAGCACACCAAAGAAGAAGCAGCGCAGGAGTGGGGCAACTCACCTTCACGCCACTTGGTTTGCTTGGTATGCCCATGAGCCACGATGGCACGCGAGTGAGCCCAAGCGACAGCGCTCGAACGCGAAGCTGCTGGTTGCGTACATGAAGCTGCTCTTGGCCGACGGATTTGGGCTGGATTCAAGCGCTGGCAGCTACCGCGACGACGTCCTTGCCCTCGGTTTGCGCGCGAGAAAGAAGCTCTCTCCTTCCTGGCTCAGCATAAGATCGCGTCGCGCGGGTCCAGCTCCGTCCTCAAGCATCTCCAGGCCCTGCACAAGGCTGGCGCACTCAACCGCCAGATAGAGCGCCACCAGCGTCTGCTCCAGTCGGCAGCTATCCAAGATCCTGCACCCGGCTACACACAAGACGTCGTTGATTTAGTTGGTTAGATGCATCACTAGCACAGCAAACAATACACGTTAGTGAACCTTTGAACAACGCAAAACAACACGTATTATTTGTCAGACAATCAGAACAAAGAGTAGGGACAAACCGCACTGCAGCAGGGGAGGGGGGCACGAGCGCGGGCAGCAGCATGAGCAGCAGGCGCGGCACAAACACGGGGTCAGCAGCGTGGGCAACAGGCGCGGCACGAGAACGGCTGCAGCAGCGCGGGCAGCAGGCGCAGCACGGGTGCGGAACAACCTCCACCCCCAGCAGACGCGAGGAGCGATGAACCCAGCCGGAGTTGAACCGGTGTCCAGGACGGATCCTGCGCTCTAACCCTAGAGCTTCTGGGTCCGATGAACGGGGGGGGGGCGGAGGCTTGCCAGGTACGGAGTGAAAAAGACCGAATGAGCGAAGAAGGCTGTTGTCGGCACGACCCTTCAGCTTGTGGCCATCCACTGGCCACGTGTCTTTCCACCTTGTATGTGGCAGTATCTCATTGGTGGATTATTAGCCAATAGCGGCAAGCATCAATGGCTGGCTGAAAAGCGAATGCTTTCAATAGTGGACCCCGCCGCTGGCTCATTGTTAAATTTACCGGATCGAGAGCGCATGGCTCTCGGTCAATAATTGCATGTTTTCGTTTTTCTCGTTTTTCTCAGCCTACAGGCCGTTTCAGAGCCTGTGACTGCGCCTATCAACAGGGCCCTTTTCATCGTTATTCAGGTTGCAAAGCATTCACACCTTCCCAACCTATCTCCCCTAATCACTTTAGTACTACACACCAATGTATCCATCCCATCATGTACCACTCGCTTGGTGCAGGTCCTACAGGTCCGAGGGTCCGATATTTTTTGGTATGGTATTAAAGCATGATTTCTTCACACCATACGTACAGTACAGTATTAATACCTCGTATAGTAAAAGACACACCATTACACCATAGCCGATGCGACTTCGAAGTACATGTAAGGGCGACCACAAAATCAACGTTGAAACCATGGATAAGCATTCGGGAGCCCCAGCACGTATCAAATGCTAACAGAGTGGAAGCGGAAGCTGTACTGGTACATGTACAGTAATTAATTGTAGGATACTTACAGCAATCACGAATCGGATGTCGACGTAGTCGCGCGAGTTGTGCCATACCGGTTCGCGTGAATACGTCAAGGAAAAACGAGCTAGTACGTTTCTTGTACTTCACATGGTTTATTCAAAGCTTCCAAGTGTGAGGTTTCATTCTAAACGCTCATTCTTCAAAGTCCGGCGTACCGAGCAACAAGAACTACACTTCCGAAACGATGCAGCTTTTCAAGGGACTTGCTTTTGCTCTCATTGGCATGATGTGCCTCGCTTCGGCTGAGATTACCTCCACCGACACTAAGATGGCGACGGACCCGCCAACAGGTCGCAAGCTGTTTTACGTTCGTACACGAAGCCCATACAGCCGCAACAACACTCCTCAACCCACGCGTTACACCACCAATCCTTGAAAAAGAAGTCTAGATATTGCGAGAGCAACGTAACCATGTGAATGGAGAAGCTCAGTACAATTCATCTGGCGATCTATTTATTAGTACGACATGTTTCTTGGATCACACAGTCATGTCAAACGTGACTTGAAAAAAACTGAGCCCTCTATCAACTAAACACAAACTCCCAGTACCTTCTGATCGGTTTATGATGAAGAAAGTCTACACCTTTGCCCGTCCAAACAGAGAATAATTTCAAGCAAAGTGGACAATTTGGTTTTTATAGTACAAATTTTAACTTTAGTAAAAGTAATCAACAAACAAACAGAGAAAGATCTCATCCAAAGCGAGACAAGGAAAGGCGATGACTGGAATCATTCGTGAAGGGGTGGTGAGGGTGCGTTGGCGCCAAAATGCGCGCGAAAACCTCGCCTGAAGCAAACCATCGCCTGAAGCAGTTCACTTTTCAAATCACCTCTTCAGACGAATGCCCTTCCAACCACTCCTCCGCAAGCACTCCCCCGCTGAAAAGCTCCGTGTCCTAGCTGCCCATCGCGCGGGACGCGCTGACTGGCTTCAGGTGGCCGCCAATAACGGCATATCGCGTGCGGTGGCATACCGCACTGTAGCCACAGGACGCGTAGAAGACCTACCGCGCGGTGGAGCTCGTGGTAGAACTGTGAAGATGACACCAGAAGCAAAGTCCAAGCTGGAGGAATATCTTGACGAAAATTGCAACTTCACCCTGGAAGCTATGCGCACGATGCTCTTTTTAGATACGAACGTGCGGGTCTCCACTTCAACGATCAGCTGCCACTTGCTTGGCATGCTGTTCACCGTCAAACAAACTCGCATAGAGCCCATGACATGCAACAACGAGATCAACAAGACCAAGCGGCAGAAGTTCGCAAAATCGCTGAAGGACCATCAAAAGAACGGTGACTGATAATCTATTTTGATGAGACTAACTACAACGTTTACTGTACGCGAGGTCGAAGACGTGCACGGAGAGGTGAGCGTGCAACGCTCGTGATGCCGCCGTCCAAGGGTGCAAACTTGCAAGTCAAGTGCGCTGTAAGCTCGGCCATGGGTGTGGTTCTCCACCGTCTGGAGAGGGGAAGCATCCGAATGGAGCAGAATGCAGCTTTCATTGAGGAAATCTACCGGACGGTTAAGGCATCCTCCGTGTTTCAGTCAGCTTCGCTGGGAAGAAGGTCATTATTGTCCTGGATAATGCCCCCGCTCACCGCCAAACCGAAGAACGTGTCGAAGCACGTGACGACCTCGTACTCCTACGACTCGGACCCTACTCACCGATGTGCAACCCAATTGAGGGTTGCTTCTCCGTTTTAAAAGCTCAAAATCAAGGGATACCTAGCCTGATGCCGCCGTCCAAGGGTGCAAACTTGCAAGTCAAGTGCGCTGTAAGCTCGGCCATGGGTGTGGTTCTCCACCGTCTGGAGAGGGGAAGCATCCGAATGGAGCAGAATGCAGCTTTCATTGAGGAAATCTACCGGACGGTTAAGGCATCCTCCGTGTTTCAGTCAGCTTCGCTGGGAAGAAGGTCATTATTGTCCTGGATAATGCCCCCGCTCACCGCCAAACCGAAGAACGTGTCGAAGCACGTGACGACCTCGTACTCCTACGACTCGGACCCTACTCACCGATGTGCAACCCAATTGAGGGTTGCTTCTCCGTTTTAAAAGCTCGAATCAAGGGATACCTAGCCTTGTACCGCGAAGAGATCTGCGACCGGAGTAACATGGTGGAAGAAGACGGCACCCCAATAACGATCAAGGAGCGCACTATGCGCTTCTTAGAGAAGGCTGCAGAATCGAGTATGAAGTATATAACACCTACGTTAGTGACGAAGATGGAGCTTCACGCTCGCGATGCGGTGAACGCGGCCGAGGAGATGAAAGACATGGTCTATGGGAAGTAGCTCACTGTGTCGTCTCGGTTTGAATGAGATTATTCTCTGATTCACTGGTAATTTTGATCCCGTAATCAGATATTTGTAATAATCAAAAACATATTGTCCACTTTGCTTGAAATTATTCTCTGGTTGGACGGGCAAAGGTGTAGTGGATCTACATTTTTGTTGTTTTCTGCACTTTTACTTTTTTTGCTGTCTTCAAATTGAAGGTGCACCCGAGTTTTACTGAACTATCAATACCAAAATGCATGTCGCCACTACGACTTTTGAGCGAAAACAACAGGCGGCGGACAACAGGACACACCGGCGCTGGTGCTTCTGATCATAAACTACCGACAATGCCTTGACACTGAGTCAAAAGACGTGTTGTGAAAAGTGAGCATTTACATGTAATGAAAGTAGATATGATAGAGCAAAATTAAATGTGTCGTGAGAGCGTGCAGTTCTGATCACGCGGTAAGTTTACAGCTGTAATAATGTATAATCCAGTGCTTATGATCTTTTTCAAGAGTTAAGGTTTGAATCTAATGAGCAGTTCTCAAAAAGCCTTCAAACTTGAGTACGGGGAATTGTTTGTGAGTTGTTGGTTTTTCTTCCATTGATTAGCCAGCATATTTTCTTCTGCGCAAAACGTTCCAACTCACACTTATGCAGGAGCCTCCATATTTCCTTGCTCTCGACACCCAACCATCCATACTGGGTCTTCCTAACATGTCACCACTTTTTCACAATTTAAGATACATTAATCTTTTCTGGTATACTTTGAAGTATAATTTTGCAGGCCTCTACGAGCTCATATGTGGAGGCCTACGAAGGTAAGTGTAGCAGCTGATATTTGATCGATTTGAGCATTCTTTTCTCTGCCATCGCAGCTAAGATTAAATTATCAGAGATACCGACATTTTACTGCATGCACGCAGCCCATAGAAATACGCGCTTGAGGATCAGCTTTGAGCATTTCTCCAACTATGTCGCACAGCTGAGGTGATATGGTAGACTCTTTCATTACTATTTCAGCTTGAGACCAGTCCAAACACAACGAGTCCAGCAACAGCAACGGACGCTTCTCCCGAGTAGCAGTTGTGTACGGGTGTTTGCCTGTCAGAGCCTGAAAAAGCACAATACCGAGACTGAAGACGTCCGTCTTGGGCGTGGGTGGGACTAGCGGATCTAGCACACGCTCCGGGGCGACGAATCCAGGAGTGCCGGTCATTTGCTGGTTATGTTGGACGTCCAGCAAATTGTAAGCCGCTCCGAAGTCAATGAGCCACACACGAGAAAGATCAAGTGAAACCATCACGTTCTCCAGGTTCAAGTCACAGTGCACAATACCCGACTGATGGACTGTTTGCAGTATCTCAGCCAGACGTGCTAATAAGCGCCATCCTTCCTCTTCACTAAGCCTTCGACCATTGTCTCGTCGACTTTGGCGTAGAAATTGCAATAGCGTGATCCCAGGCAGCTGAGGCATGACCAGAACAATTTCTTCTGCTGTTTCAACGACTCGAGATCCTGCCATTAGACTCAGATCTCGAGCAGCGCACGAATTATACAGGTGGCGGAGTATCTGTAGTTCGTGACATGCTCGCTCATCGTTATTTGTTGCGAGCACTTTGACGACAAATCGCTCTGAGGAATGCACGTGCTGCACAATGCGGACATTTCGTCGTTGAGATCGATTTATTTCTAGCTTTTCTGGCCGGACATCTCGACTCCAGTTTGCATGATCCAGCGACTCTCGAATGGTTGAGCACCAGATATTTGCATCTGCAGTAGTGGCAAATCGAATCCGTAAGCGAAAATCAGGCAACCCTGCACTCGTTCTTGGGCTTGACAGTTCAATGCTGTTACCACGATTGGAGCCAGCAGAGCCGATAAGGTCGCAAATGGTACTTAATAACAATGTGTACGTGGTCTCCGCTTGCACTTCTGAAGCGTTGAATGGGGCTGCAGTTCTATTCTCAGCATAGACAGCAAGAGTGGGTTTCGCCCCTGTGCGCAGCACGATGGTGCGTTCTTGGAATCGATTCAGCCTCAATCTCGAGCCGAAGAGCACGCAAACTCCTCGCGCTACGTACTGAGAGCGCAGAATCGGGAGCTCTCTACCGGTGCGAGAAATACCTTGAGCTTCTGACGCTCGCCCAATGACGACGGGATCCGCATTTCCAGTATTACTGCCAGCAGGAGACGATAATATAGAGGAGACCGACGCAGAATGACGACAGTACGGATCTTTTCCATTATAAGTGACTGCTACCAGACACTCGGCGCATTGGACACGGATCTTGGTCGATTGGTGGTCTACAGGAGGCACGCGGGACAACATCGTTGCCGATGATGCGTTGGCGGTAGATGTGCAATGCTGCGAATGAGTGTTCAGACTGAACTTCAGTGGACGTTGCGCTCGTCTTGCAAAAAAATAGAGCACGCCAAAAATAAAGATACCCGAAAATAGATGCATCGAAAAATCACTGCTCTTGTCCTAACTTATTAAAATACTTGACCAAATGAAACGACCGTCGACGCTACGAACGACGAGAAGGCGTCGATGACCGTACGCGTCAATTCAGAACGGCTGTTTCTACTTCGTTTGCTAAAAATGCTGCCCGATTGCAGGATCGCCACGAAGCAGCACTGAGGCACATCACTGATGTGACATCAGTCATGGTAAGGTGTCCAGGCCGGAAGCTCACTGGATGCTGCGCTGTGTCGGCTACTTGAGGTCACCGTGATCTTCGAGGTGCTTTGCTTGTGAGTGGCTCAGTAGAAAAACGAAACGCGTGCGATAGAAAACTCCCCGTCGTCTTGTGGTGTTCTCATTACTGTACATCAAGTAGGCTTTTCATATTAAAGTGGGAGCGGCGCTTTTATATGGGTTACACGTACCTCTATTCTAATTGAAATTTCGTACCGCACGTGTTTTCAAACCTGGTGATAAGGACAAATATACGAACCTCTCGAAGGAACGAGTACGCTTTCGTGTGCGTGGCGATGACACTCATCAAAGAGTTCGGTCTTGTTGTATTCTTTTTCATTTCTCGATGAGCTTTGCACGTCAAGACATAGAATAAAACGCATACCGCTGTTATTACTTGTAGATCGGTGTACTTAATTACTTCGTCGCGAGCTTCAACATTGTTAAAACTTGGCGCTGTTGTCACAGTTAAAAGATTTAAGAAACTCAAATGCTTCACACACAAAAATCATTTATCTGCTTTCATCAAGCTCCATAAAAGGCTGCTTTTTACTCTATTTAGCTATAATAGATTTAATTGTACAATCGCCAACTGTAGCTATCCGCCTCAGCCAGATGAATTGTATCCATAGTCATTGTTCATTCATCTCCATCAAGGCATTCGGTCGTTCTGCTAAATCTGCTTTATAACGTCGACTCAGCAAGCCAGCTTCTCCATCAAGTAGTGTAGGCTCGAAGGTGTGTTTCTATTCATGCACAAAAACTGGTGCATTCTGTAGATACCATCAGTCTCCCACACACTTTGCAAAACTGGAAACCTTAGAGCAAGGGATTCATAAAATCAAGACCGAGTTTGGGCGTGAAAAATCTGAGAAGTGCCGAGGAGGGGCAGCGCTAAATGCTACAGGAATAATCCTATCTTCAGCATTTCATGACGGTCACACGGATGCAGCAACTATTCTCTGCATCAAAGAGGATGTTGGCCACCATAGGGCGCTAGTCGCATTGCGCATCAAGCATTACATGTACAGTACTAAGTAATACTTAAAAGCAAATTCCAACGCTATTCCGCCCTTTTGTTTAACATGAACAATAAAGCGAGGGAGTGGGATTCAAGCTAAAAACGCGAAATTGCGTTTTTCAACGCACCTTTTCTCGCTCCTGATTGGTCCATAAATTACTGCCGTGCCACCGTTTTCGGTCATAATCCAATTGGCTCCAAGGAGCTCAAGTCGAAGAACGCTACACATTCACAACTGCTCGAGATGGTGTACTCGTCATCGACGCTGATGGCGAGCGTCGTCTCTGCGGCACTCGCAGGCGCCGCAATTGGCCTCATACTGGGCGCACAACGCATCCCCACATGCCCCAAAGAAGGCTCGCACCATGGCTTGATGCGGCGATTTACGTGTCTGCTGTGCCGCAAGAAGAAGAAAGGATTTCCTAAGCGACTGATCCTGGTGCGCCACGGCGAATCCGAGGGCAACATCGACCCACTACTGTACGGCCGCGTACCTGACAACGCGATGCACCTCACGGAGCTAGGCTACGAGCAGGCCGTAGCGGCTGGCGAGTCCATCAAGAAGATTGTTGGGAACGAGACAATGGTGCGAGATTTATTGAGCTTAAATAACAGATAGCATGTGCAAACTAACTTTGTTTCTGTGTCTGTTGCAGCGGTTCATTGTGTCGCCATACGTCCGAACGATCGAGACATTTTGCGGCATCCTTAAGGCCTGGGGCTTCGAAGGCAAGTCCATCCCGTGGTCAGAGGAGCCTCGTATCCGTGAGCAAGACTTTGGCAATTTCCAGGAGCCCACGAAAATCCGCGAGTGCAAAGCTCAACGTCGTCGCTTTGGCTCCTTCTTCTACAGATTTCCAAGTGGAGAATCTCCTGCTGACGTGTACGACCGCGTCTCGAGCTTCCTTGAGTCTCTCTATCGCATGTTTGAGAAGTCGTCCGAGGAGAACTACGTTTTGGTGACACATGGTGTGGCTATCCGTGTAATTCTTACACGCTATTTCAAGTACCGCATCAGTGAGTTCGAGCTGCTCCAGAACTTCCACAACGGCGAGTTCGTCGTGCTTGAGTTCAACGAGTGCCAAGGCAAGTTCATGCTCAAGACGATCGTGTCCAACCACGTGCAGATCCAAGATGACGGAAATGTGTCTGTGGAGACGGATGAGACTACGCAGCTGCGTATCCACCCGAGCGACACCATGTCGTCCATTCCAAGACCCTATTTGACATCTCCGATCAATCACTTCCGACACCCGCCGCCGCCATCTCCACCCACGTCCAGCACCATGTCGTCGCCCAGAAACGAGATGTTCTCGGCGTCTCCCACGTCGACCAGCACGTCCAAATCAGTCGATTACTCCTCGCACATGCGTCCTCCGCCGATCACCGTCAACGAACCCATGCAGCGTGGTATGCAGTGATTACCAAGGGAGCCAGCCAAACGATGCAAATTGGGAGGAAGCAGACGAGACGGTCACGTATTTAAACAAACATGTTCATGTCTCCTACGTTTACTCGTTTATTTAAAAATCCCAAAAAGATTCTGAAATTCAAAAACATTTCCACGATCTAATTTTACACGTAACTCGGACAAATCCAAACAGTCTTTCACCTTTTTTTTTAAGAAACTTTTTTACGCTGAGGTAGCCAACCAGAAATATTGAGCGACTTTCTTATATACAAGGGGTGCAAAAGGATACTCCAGTAGTTAATTATGTGTAGATTTTTTAAAACAGTACAACACTTGCAACATTAAAATGCTGCAAAATGTAGCAAAACAAATATCTGTTCAATCTCAATATTCTTTTTTATAGTTTTGCCACGTGGAGACCCAACTATTTGCCACGTACGAGCGATGTTGTCAACGCCGGACGAGCTGGTGCCGCTGCCGGCGGAGCTCAAGAAGTACCTGCTGCAACTGACGCTCATCGGCGTCGTCAGCTATGCAGCTGTAGCATTGTTGATTCCCGTAGTGGGTCGCCGTATGCCTGCCAAGCTCTCGGGAAAAGATCTGTGCAAACGCGGCACTCCAGCAGGAGATATCCCAATGTGGGTGGAATACTCTCTAGACGGCCAACGCTCTGTACTAACCCGCTGTATTTCTCTACTGTATACAGCCCAGAGGCACTCGGTATTGTGTCAGGGCTCCTGTACGTTGCTGCGTTGGTCGTAACGGTACTCACAGTGGTGGACAACGCCGACGTGAACCGCATGATGGCTTGGGGTATCGTCAGTATCCTGTCTATGATCCTACTGGGCTTCACCGACGACCTATCGGATCTGCGTTGGCGTCATAAATTGCTCTTCCCACCGCTGGCTTCACTGCCTTTGCTCATTAATTACGCTGGACTCACAGCCATCGTGCTGCCCAAACCGGTCCGCTTCTTGTTCGAGAAGGACACTTTGCTATACACGGTACTAAACCCCGTTGTACCGCTCAGTGACGGCGGTGAGATCGCCGAGCTCGGACTCTTTTACTACCTATACATGGGCATGATGGCAGTGTTTTGCACCAATGCAATTAACATCTACGCCGGTGTGAACGGTCTGGAGGCAGGACAGTCGTTCGTGATTGGCGCCGCTGTCGTGGTCCAGAATGTGTGGCAGATTCTGCTCGGCCACGACAACGAGCACTTTCACTACCTCTCGCTTATGTTCATGGTTCCGTACCTGGCGACGACACTCGGTCTGCTCAAGCACAACTGGTACCCGTCGCGTGTCTTCGTTGGAGACACGTTCTGCTACTACGCCGGCATGACCTTCGCCGTGTGTGGTATCCTGGGTCACTTCAGTAAGACGCTGCTGCTCTTCTTCCTACCGCAGGTCCTCAACTTCCTGTACTCGCTTCCACAGTTGTTCAAGATCGTACCTTGTCCGCGTCATCGACTGCCCAAGTTCAACGCGAAGACTGGTCTACTGGAGCCTTCCACCATCACACCCGAGTCCACTCGATCCAACTACACGATCATCAACCTCTTCCTGGTTGTTTTTGGCCCCATGAAGGAGAACCACCTCGTGCTGGCGCTCCTTTCGTTCCAAGTACTGTGCTGTGGGTTGGCGTTCTACATTCGCTACGGGATCAGTGGCTACTTCTACGACTTTGTGCAGTAGAGTACAGTAGATAAATTGATCTTTTTTACTGCATTTTTCAAGAAAAATCTCCTCCTTCCGCCCTTGTCAACACTTTTACCAAGTGACTTGCGACGCCGGGGTGATCACTTCATCTCGGATCTTCAGAATGGATTTCTTGGGCGTCGTCGTCTTGTTTGGCATAGGCAGAGGCTTCGGTGGAGCATTGTCATCCACCTCAGCACTCGTACTTAGTGAATTGTCCGTCGATCCTCCTGCTGCAGCGTTGCTCCCCACATTTTTACTGCGAGCAGTAGCGAACAGATCGCTGACGGGAATATGCTGACTAAATTGCATCAGCTGAGGCTTCCCAAAGACCATTCGTCCCTGAGCCACCCCGTCCACCTTCTCGTCATCGTCTCCGTCCTCGTGCTTCTTCAGCGAATCCTCGTAGTCACGGTTGATTTTCGCAGCCAGGGACTCAATTACTTGCGTTTGACGCACTGGACGACGCATATTCTCCGAGCCCAGAGAGTTAAACTGAGGGAGATACACCACCACTTCCTCGCCTGGATCTAGTTCTGGCTCTGCAGTTTTATCTGTTCCTGTTCGCAAAGCTTCCAGACGCGCCGTCTCTTTCTGCAGCGGAGTTAACTTGGTCGGTGGACGTGAAGACACGTGCACTTGTCCATTCGTAGCGGCTCGGCTAATTTGTGCTTGCTGCTCAAGAAGCAGGTCTCGAGCTGACCGATTGAACGAGCGATTCATCGCTGTTCTCGCCCACTTCTTGATGATCCATTGCGCCAGATCTCCGTACACCGGCTCGATATGACTCGTCGAGTGGCTGAGCTTCTCGATTCCTCTTAAGGTGCGCGCAATGTTCGTCTTTCGGAGATGCTCCTCCTTCACTCCAGGCAGCATCGCCAGCACTTTCATGACCAACAACGAGGCGGATCGCGTACTCTCGAGACGAAACCAATGCGCCAACATCTTCTCGAGCGCTTGCAGTCCATCAGCTTCCACAAACGCCTCCAACGCTTTCTTGGGCTACGTCACCAGAGAAGTCAGTTAGTAAATAATAACTCTTCTTTGAGCTGGACGACGGGCCTCACCTGGAGATCCTTGTTGTTGAAAATCACTTTTTGCTTCTCCGAGCAGTTCTTGGCCACCTTCTTCTGGCTTAAAATGATCTTCAGCACCTCTCGACAGATCGTATACGCCGTCTTGCGACTGTCAAACTTCTGTGTGTTCAGTGGTCGCTCCTTCTCCTCTTCAAAATGATAATGATTCTTTTTCTTCTTCTTTTTGGACGATGACAATGACTCCGCTCCGTCGGAGTCCCCCGATCTCTTCCGCTTTGGGTCTGCTTCCTTGTCATTCTCTTGGATGTTCCGCTTGACCTCCTCGAGTGTCATATCTGAGTACAGACCGTCAGAGAAGAGCACCCGGAACCTCTTAATGTCTGCAAAGTATTGTGTCACTTGGCCTGAGCTCGTGAGCGTCTTGCCCTCGTAGCTGGTGGAAGTCTTCGTCACAGTGGCTCCTAAATACTGATTCGGGTCCGATTCCTTCTCCTTCTGACGCTGCTCTGCCTCCTTCGCCTCCTCTTCGGCCGACTTGCGGATGACGAATTGCTCCGTCTGGCTGGCATTCAGCACATCTTTGTGGTCGTCGCTGTACACGAGCGTGTAGAGCCCGGTATCCGGGTCGAACGCTTTGATCTCCCCCGTGCGACCTTCGACTGGGTTAGCCACCCGCGTACCCAGTGGGAAACGCTGCGGCTCACGCATGCGGACCTGGTGACGGAGATAGGTACAAGAAATGAGGAAGAAGCAGGAGTCGAGAGACAGAGGCTACGTACCATGGCGAAAAAAACGTTGCTTTTGAGCGAAAATGAAAGGCTTCAGAGAAGTACAACACAATTTTTAAAGCTCTTCTTAAAAAGATTAATTAGAAAAAATAATTTGTTTTAATATTACAGGCAATCCCCTCGATAGTCATAGCGTCAAGATCTAAGCCGCGTATTGGCTGAAAATCTGTCCTGTTGCGCGACAGGCGATCGTGCGTGTTCATACAGACCTCTTCCACGAGCTAGCCAGGCCATCAAATTCTGTCCGCTCTGGACCACAAGCAGCGATATAAGCGTCACAAAGGTTTTCTCCTTCCCTCGACCACCACCACATCAACACGCCAGCACCTCCAGCAGATGCCTAGACGGACCTCGCAGTAGCAGCATGCAGTGGCTTCTCCAGTCGACAAGCAACCCCAATGTCAGCTCACAGCAGGGCGAAACAAGCGGAAATCAGCAGCAGATACCGGCGGAGACAGCCCGTAGCAGTGTGCCAAGCATCTATGAGCCTAGTGGTTATGGCAGAGTCTACATGGATGCACTGGACATGCAGAGCGGGCTCCATGTCGTTGCTGACGCAAAGGTGGCGAAAGCCTACCGTGAAAACGCTGAATACGGATTGTTTGCCCTATTTGTGACGGCCACGTTTCGCCACAGTCTCCTGGCATGGACATCAGATGTTCTTACTGCTAGAGGCCAGTTCAAACTTACTGAGAGTGAATTCAATGCATATTGCGGGCTTGAAATTGCAATTAGTATTTGTTCGCCGAGTGATATTGCTGAGTATTGGTCTGACAGTCGTTTTCTTGGTCAAGCTGCCTTTATAGATACTATGCCGAGGACAAGATTTCAGAATATCCGATCCGCGTTACTGTTTCACCCTCCGAACGACCCGACACTCGATGCGCTCAACGAATCCAAACAGACGCCGCGAGAGGAGGCTTGACATGACGTTATATACGTGGCTGCTGGATATGGCTACAATAAATGTTTTTGCGCTTTTGAAGCATACGACAACGACAGCCTTGACACTACGCAAGCTCAAAAGAAGAATTGCGGACACTCGGACGCGCAATAAGAAAGCGCTTCGGCATCAACAACTTCGACGCAAGAAGAAACGCCAGCACGAAACCGTGGATGACGTTGTGGAAGCGCACGCGTCGTTGCATATTATCACACCCAACTCGACCAAGCACAGCAACGGCAAGCTCACGTGCTATCTGTGCAGTCTTAGAGGGATGTCAAAGGAAGCAAGATATGGATGCACCAAATGTGAACGAGGGTTTCACGTAGAGTGTTTTAGCGCATTCCATTACCAAGACGTCTTCAAAGCGCGTTCGCACGGAGTTCACGAAGCGCTGGACGCGGTTTGCAGCGCGATGACCGATGCCCCTTTAGCATTTACACGAAAACGAACCAATACGTCAATCACAGGCGTAGAATCACTAACGCTACCTTCCGCTTGATAATAAATTTACGTTCTCGGCATCCGGCCCAATCGTGTGCAATTGTCGTTTGACACACTCGGGAACGTCCCCTTGCATGCTTCCACTTTTCTAGTACAAATACAATCGGCACAGTGCCTGGCGGACAGCACGGTTACCTCGCCGTCTCCGCGACAGCTTGACTTGGAGGCGACACCCGGCCTCTTGAAGCTCGAAGCCGTACTGCTTCCAGTCACACACAGGTGCTCCGCACCAACCGCACAAAACCTCCGCTTCGTCCATGGTGTGGAGAATGCTGTAATGCATATTTTGAGGGGGATTTGTTATGAGAGGTTGCGGCTCTTTCCTGCGCTCTCACGATTGGTTCAAAATTCCAAAATTCCGTGCTTTCATTGGTTTTAGTAGAGGACTCTGTGGACCCCTAAAAATGGTCTGGTAGTTAAAGGGTTAATCGGGATTCCTATCGCGGGACTGCAAAAATGTTGTGCCAAAGTAAATATCGTTTTGTATGCTACCAATTGAAGTATTATGATAGGCTAAAAGAAATGTAAATCAGCTCTTATTGGCTATGACAATAGATGCACTCACAGCCAGCCAAAGGAAAAGAGGCTAGCATTGGCCACCAAAAGGGAAAGCCGAGGGATGTTACGGAGAGATGGCGTGTGTCATCTCACTTTCCAATTACGGACGGCATTACAACTACAGCTACAACTACTCGTCCGACACAACATTTCAAGTCTGATGACTACCGATGCGAGGTTTGGTGGCGGTCTCGATAAGTTTAACAGCAAGTCCTACACAATGTGGAAGGACAAGCTACTTACGCACGTCAACCAATTGGACCACGTGTACCAAACGAAGCAGCTTGAGAAGAGGCACCCCGAAGCGAAGGTGCTGATGGCTGACTTCCTCAGAAGCAACCCCGAAAAGCCGGCGTTACCGACCACCGAAACCGCCACAGAAGAGGCGTACGCAATGCGGTGGGAAGTGATGCATTGGACACAGGCAATGGAAGATCATCATAACCTGTTCAATCAGGCTCTTCCCAACTTCTTTTTGTCAGCCCTACCGGATGTGATTATCTCAATGGATCCATGTGAGGTTATTCGACTACTCGAAAATGCTTTTTGGGCAAGGAGATGCAGCCGGCCTCATTGAGCTAGCGAGAGCCTGGTCTAAGTTGGCACGTACTCCTTGGCGCGACTAAAGAACTTCGTTCGCGCACCTTAAGAAAACAAAAAATGAGATTAATAGGAAGTCTCGCAAGCTTTTGGGGAACGACATGGTGACAGAGCCGTGGCTTTGCGTTGAAGTGCTGTCTCGGCTGCCCAGTGAGTTTTTGGCATCCTCAATTTCAATGAAAAGGAGGACTTTACCGTGGATCAGGTGGAAAGCTCGTGCGCCGGATTTTGGAGGACAAATTGAAGAAAGAGGTGGGACTTATGGATGAGTCCCAGGCAGTTACTGTCAACAATGTGCGGGTCAAGCAGGGTGCAAAGCGAGAACCCAGTGAAAACGAAGGTGAAAGAAGTTGTTTCTACAGCTTCCAAACTGGCCACTTCAAGCCGGAATGTCCCTAAAAGTTGGCCGACAGAGACCCGAAATCGAGCAGGTGGACCCCTATTTAGGACTGACGTCAACACTGCACCGGGGGCTAAGAAGACTAAAAGGACCAGCACAACTGCGGTTAACACTAATAAGGCAATCATGAGTGAAGGTATGGAGCGCCTAAAAGTGGATGAGAAGACCTTTTTGGAGAAATGTGCTGAATATGAGGACATGAACGACATTGAAAGCTTGGACTTAGCGCACCATGAGGGTTTTGAGGATTGCGGCAAGTCAGCAAAGACACTACCCCAGTCGCCTCAAACTATGGATGTCATTGAAGAAGAGGTAAGTAAACGTTATGCCTATTATTTGAGTGTATTAGAAAGGCTTACTCTAACGGATGATATGTGGATGGTTGATACTGGTGCAAGTCGTGCTATAACACCAGATAGACACTGGTTTTGAGGGTACCTCCAACCTGGCCAGAGCCACACATTCACCTACTATAATGGATCCACCTCTCACCGTACACTTAAGGGATCAATAAAACTACATGTTTTGAACCCTAATAGGAGGTTAAGTTCTGTAACATTAACTGATATATCGTTTGACCAAAATTGCGATAGCAATTTGCTGAGTGCATTCTATCTGGCTAAACAAGGTTACAGTCACATTCAAGCAAAGTCAGGAAAGGTTTTGTTCTTTTTACGAAAAGACAGTAAACTTCTCTTCGCAGCAGTAGAAAAAGGTGAGGTTTACTACTTGCCGAGTGTAAAGCCATCGAAGACGAGTGTATTTAGTGCTCAAAGTGGAAAATTGGGTGATATCGTCAAAGAATGGCACTTACGATTAGGCCATGTCGGTAAAGAGAGGCTAATTAGGAGTATGAGTAGCGAGAAAACTAAGGGTTTGCCTAATATCCCCTACTCTGAACTCAATAAAGTACCCTTCTTTTGTAATACATGTGCCCACATGAAGGACCGCAGGATGTCATATAGACATATGATCGGAATCAAGGCTACTGAGCCTCTGCATACGTTGCATATGGACTCAACCGGAAGGGTAATAGTAAACGGTCTTTGTGGGTCGTTTGGCTATCACTATGCGCTGGCAGTTGTCGATGATGCAACTGCCTATAAGTGGTATATTGTAGTCAAGTCGCTAAAAGAGGTACCGGGTAAAATAAAACCCTGTTGAAACAATTGTCAGTCCAATTTCCGTCATTTCTGGTACGCCTAATTAGGACTGACGGAGGCTCAGAATTTATAAATAAGGAGGTATCTAAACTGTGTTTAAAACTCGGATTAGTTCAAATGTAAAATCTCAAGAAGAAAACTGTAGTGCAGAGAGGTCTCACCAGATAATGATGGCCGGGGTCCGCTGTGCGTTAAGGGGTGCCAAAATGGCTGCTAAGTGGTGGCCGGAGGCCTCATTATACATTATGGACATCACTAATCGTCTACCTATAGCTAGACTTGGGACGAAGACCCCTTATGAGCTACGGAACCGTAAGAAACCAAATGGTTTAGCATTAAGAATATGGGACTCTACATGTTATGTACACGTTCCCAAATCTAAACGAAATGACCCAAAGCTAAGTGAAAGAACCATAGAGTGCAAACTTTTATGACTTTCTTCTAAATAAAAGGGATACAGGCTGTTAGATGTCCAAGCTAACAAATACTTAGTAGCTCGAGATGTTAAGCTCTCTCCTACTGGTGCAGACGCTATGATTAAGCGATCATTTCCTACTGAGGATAGTAGTAGTAATACACAAGAATAAAGTATTTTTCACAATTTAGGAAAGCGATCTAGAAGTGATATTGAAGTTGTAGCAGCAACGCCTGTTGAGTCCAGAAGCTCACGACCACCGAGATCCCAAACCATGGGAGTACAAAACAGATCACAAAGTGACATGCGTAGGTCACGCTAAAAGATACCGAGCGTTCGGCTCAGAGAGTAGGTCACATAGCTACATGCTGTAACGGCTAACATGCCTAAAATACAAATTCCGAAATCGAT